TTTTTTTACATTTACAGTAACGTGTAAGTGTGTGATAAGTGTTGAATATAAAGACCCTTCATCTGTTTACTGTAGTGTCACTAAAACCTTCCTCACCATCAACCACTTAATTTGTTTTTTTAATTAACTTTTTTTGCTGCTGGAGAAAAAAAGCACGTGCTGAATCGGACCTGTGTAAAACTTGCTGACCCCGAGTCAGTCTGACTGATGCACTTCTCTGTGTGCTAATGTAATGACTGGAAGGTTTCCAGACAGGAGCCCCAGACAGACTTAACAACAGCTAATTGAGAGAACTGAGAAATGTTGCACTCAGATTACGACCTCAGGGGCGCCACCAAGGGGGGGGGCCCGAGGTGGGAATTGCCATTTTGTTAAAAAAAAATGGTGCCCTCCCATTGGCACCTCCTTGACCAGACAGTTTTATCTTTAAAATTCAAAATAATACTTAAAGTCTAGTCTCTCTGAATGAAGACGACTGGTCTAAAACCAAAGTCTTCAACATTAGGATGCAGGGTCTCAGGAGGTCATTCGCATCATGTTTTTTTTAATTGTTTTTATAAAAAAGGAATTTAGGAGTGGACAAGCTTCCATAAGTTGAGTACTGACATTGCTTTCCTCAATATCTCCATCTCCTACAGCTTATCCATAGTCGGGTCGTGGAAGGAACAGGTCCAGRAGAGAAACCCAGACGTCTCTCTCTCCCCARAGACTATTTTGGGCTCGACCTGGGGGACACCGAGGCGTTCCTAAGCCAGAGACGATGCATAATCCCTCCAGCAAGTTCTGAGTTTTCCTCAGGGCCTCCTAGCAGTGGGACGTGCCCAGAGCACCTACAAAGGGAGGCATCCTAATCAGATGCCCAAACCACCTCAACCGAYTCCTTTCAGTGCGGAGGAGCAGCGACTCTACATGAGTTCCCTGGATAATGAAACTGCTAAGCCTTTATGTAAAGCTAAGCCCAGCCACCCTGTGAAGGAAGCTGTTTACAGCTGATGCCAGTAAACTGAGAGATTTGCCTTTTGACTAAGCTCTTTCTTCACAAAGATTGACTGAAGCAACTCCCTCATTACTTGAGGACAAGGTCCCAATCCATCGATCCATCTTACTCTAGCACTTGTGAACAAGATGCCCAAATAACTAAAGTAAGTAAAAAGAAACATAAAGTGTAAATGAAAATAAGATAAAGTACACAGATGCATATCAGATCTTCTGTACTACTGTATTTGTAAAATAACCTGCTTAAGACAACATGTTAAATGTGAAATTCCATTCCGGCTCTTTGTTTTTGGTACCACCTCAGGATTTTCATGAGTTTCAGGAGTTTCTGTACGAGCTACTGTTCTGAAACCCAACTACCACGTTGCACCGGGAACAGAGTGGACTGTCTGCAGAACTGCAGGAACTGAAAATCACYGCACCTGGTTGTTCTTCCCTTTGGCAACACACTCTCTCTTCTTGTCCTGGGGCGCCGGCCAGTCGATCTGTGGGGAAACGACAAAGACAAATGTGACTCGCTGCAGGGGGATCGACAGCCTTTCAGCCATTAGTAGAACATCTCTATGTGTGGGAATCTGTGCTGCAGCAGGGAAAATATACTTCATAATGAGATACATTCTGAGACGAATCACAATGAAAAGACCAAAAAAAAGAAGGAAAAAACATCACACACATCTCGCTGCTGCTTTGCTCTGCCAATACGCTGCASCATTGACCACTAGTTGCTGTAACTATGGCAACAAGAAGACTCACTAATAGTAGTAACACTRTGTTCTTTTTCTCTTTCAGCTTTCTTCTATAAAAATGTAAGCTCATATACATTATTTGAGCCAATAAACATATTTTAAAAAATAGGTTACGGTGAATAAGGTGTACTTGTCAATACAGGTGGTGCAGCTGAAGACATCAGTCCAGGTTGTTTTACTGTACTGGTCTGTTGCACCCACTAGTAGTGGGCTGGACACAGAGAGGGTCTTAAAGAAGGGATCTTACAACACCACTGTCTCAAAGAATCAAAGATGAACTAAAAAAAAGGTGAATCACAGTGGGCTTCTGGACAGAAAAGAAATAAAACACATTATTTTTTACGCATCAACACATAGTTGAACTTTGCTCTGTGGACAGAGGTCAGAAGAATCCACTGTGCTTCCTTTAGATGTTTTTCACATCATTAAAAATAGTTATAATGGCCATTCTAAGCWGATTTTACTTCTACTGGATACAAACCAACAGCAGCCAGACAATGAACTGTTGCAATATAATCAAAAAGTCAATAAAAGGAGCTTTAAAGTAAAGACGGTCATTAAAYGGCACAACAACCATGGCTCCTAATGGTCTCTGAAAGAATATAAAACCAGAACGACTTGCCAGTTTCTCACCACTCCTGAATGGAGTTCCATCCATTTTACATATATGTAAGGAGGTTTACCCAAAATCCACTAAATGTACTCCTGTTCCCAGAGACTAAATTTCATTTTCAGGGACTTACTTTCCTGATGGATTTCTAATTATCACAGTTAATAACTAAATGAATCATTAGACTCTCTGGCTGTGCAGCRTCACCTGTAGGTTCTACATCTTTAACTAATGTGATTAGACTTTTAATGGAGGGCTGGCTAAAATTAAGCATTCGCTTTTCCTCTTAATTGTGTTTCCATGGTTATTTTAATTACTCACAAAAATATAAGTAAATAAAAAAATCACTCTTCATTTTCGTACCTCAGGAGCTATAWCTCAGTACCAGGCTTCAGTCATCACGAGCTGCGAGCGCTGATAACGGCTGTCATGCAAAGAGGCACGAACCAAAACAAATGTCACCCACTGCACGTCACACGATTCTAATAATAAGGCAACCCCATTCGCCTCCGAGTATCTGTCGTCAAACCAAATGCAAACAGTTAGGTTAGTTACGAGCTATTACATGGTAGGGGTGCAAAGATATAGAAAATTCACAATTCGGTTCRGTTCGATACTTTAGTCTCACGGTTCGATATTTTTTTGATACAAAAAAGAGAAATTTCCATGCCCCTTTTAACTGATAATTTATTGAAATGAATTATGAACATTAGTTTAACATCAAAAGTACAGTTTTTAAATTAAATGTTGCTGAAAGTAAGTTTCTCTGTGGATCTGCTGCTGAAAATGCAGCCTAGGTGGAGTAGTCGAACACAGATCCACTGATCCTTCAACACAGAGCATCTTCAGAAAACAAGTTGATAAAATAAAATTTAAAAATCTGTATTGTTCAATACAAGTGTGTATTGAACTTAAAGCATTGTATTAAACGGTTCAATACGGGTACATGTATTGTTGCACCCCTACTACATGGCTACTTGGTTTTAGCATTTCAAACGTCCTTCGCAGATCTTTTTACCTCCTACAGCGTCAGCGCATAGAATACAAGTAACATACAAGCCCATTAGCATTTCTCTAAAATTAGAAACCGGTCTTGCAAATTGTTCCTAGTGCGAGCTGAACTTCCCGGAACAAAAATGCGGGGGATAGAGCATTTACATCCGAGCTACTATGAATTAACTTTTCAATTTGATTAGCTCAGTTGAAGATGACAGTATTGATTCTCCTGCGTGGGTGAATCCTYCTTCAGGTTAAACCAGCGCGTTCAGGTGAAGCTCAACCCACCACCATCATGAAGAAAATAGCTAAACTAAACAGCACCGAAGATAAAACATAAAACGGGAGCTGCTTGTCTACAAAGTCTAAATCCAGAAATGAAAAAAATAAAAAATCCCCACATCCCCAGAGAATATCCAAGGAAGGAAGATGGTGATGAAAGTAATGAAGACAAACAGTGGGCGAGACAGCGGCAAAGGAAAAGAGGAGCAGTTAAAGGAAAGGRAGGAGGAGAAGGAGGGAGAGAATGATGGGCACAAGGAAACACAAGGGAAGAACTATTTCTTCATTCGTGCTCAGTCATTTTTCCTGTTGGCTCCTTCCATCCATACTGCACGCTGGGGGCTGACAACAGGTGGCCTTATCATTAGTGTGAGACCCATAACCCTCAGTCAAACAGAGTTGTGTGTCACAGTGTGTGTGGGTGTGTGTGTGCATCTAATAACTTCTCATTACAGCAGTAAATCAGATAGAAATCCCCAAASCGCTGCGGGCCGTTCACTACACCTTCATTGCACGGCTGTAACTGTATTGATTGCAACAAAGACCAATTATTGAGGGAGCAAAGCAAAACCAGACTGGATCTCTGAGGGTTTAGCATCTCTGTATGTGTAGGAGGAGGTCCTGTGGGTCAAGTCAAGGGTTTTAATACTGCGTACAGGTTTTCTCATGAGTGCTGTACAGAAAAACACAAAACACACGTTTCAACAAAGACAAGAAAAAAAAAGGAAAGAAAAACACAAGGGTGAGCGTATCTAAAACCCTGATTCATGTTAGATATTTTTGGTAGTGACAGAAAACAAATATTGGAGCTAATAGCTGCACACYAACACTTCCAGATGTAAAATGCCTGAAAACACCTGCCGTTACATTTATCAAAAGAGCTGTAAACATCATTTTTTTCTAACACTATTTTTGAGACTGGAATGTTAAAATACCTGTGAAGTATAARGTCATGAAAATCAAAATCAAAATAGTGACATAAAGGAACAAAGAGTTTTATGCTTCGCTACAAATATAAATGCCCTTTATCCTTTTGAATCATTAGCATAATTGAAACACAGAYGGCTAACATGCTAAGCATCAGCATTTTCACTCCGTTTCTTGCTAATATTAGCCCTTAAGCTTTAATACTCAGCACCATTAAAGCTTAAGGGCTGTATTGCTATGTTAATTAATGCTAATTCTTCAGCATTAYGGTGTAATCTGGTAGAAAACACCTGCAAGATTTTGCTAGGCGCTAATCCCCTCAAGCTAAAAATAGTCACTATTTTAGCTGACAACTGATTCGAATGGTTTWAGATTGATGAAAAAAAGTTTATGAGTGTGATTTTTAGCCTTTTTAATTTGAAAATAATATTTTAGATCTTAGATTGTAGTTACAAAGAGCTATTTCCGCACTAAAAACAATTCTTTAGCTTTTTGCTAACAGACAAATTTATGTATTTTCAACCTTTTAAGAGGACATATTGAAAATACAGTTTTTTTCTGTTTGTACACTATTAGCTTTTTAAGGCCTGCTTGAAGAAAAAAGCTCCATCTGTTGTGACTCAGTTAACATTTTTATTAGTCCCATTTATTGTCAGCAACAGTCTGTTTTGTTTGTGTTCTCAAATCCTCTGAAATGTAAAACAGACAATAGAAAAGTCCCTATTAGCTTATTCTGTCAGTTAATAGGAAGCACAAAAAGTGAGACACTTATGATGTTTTATGTTTTCTCTCCTCCTTTTCAAAGATGAAATTCTGTGATGTCTAGATGTTTTTTATCATGACTGGTCCTAATTAAATTGGAATGAATGTTTATCTCTGCATGCAACAAAGCTGTGAGGGAGATGGGTTTTGTCCATGAACTGCTCATCAGAGCCCACTGTTGACAAATGTAGTGTTATCATTTAATTCGCCGCAGTTCTACAAAGGCATTTCAGAATACACGGGTGTGCAGTCGATAATCAATTTGTGACACATCTTTTCCTGTACACATGGTGGAGATGGAAATGCTTTGATCTCATTCAGCGGCCAAAATATGTCTTCATAATGTATTTGTGTTTAAACGTGTGYGTTACCTGTGGACGTAGCTGTTTGCTGATATCGTTGGGGTCCAGGGCAAACAGAGCCTCTCGCGCTCCAACGTACAAAACCCTCTCGTGGTCAGACAGGGTCAGCATACTGTAGTTGAATACTCCTTGGATGCTGAACCTCGCCATGCTGTCCAGGACATCTGGATGAAAAACATAAAAATCAAACAATTTATTTCATGGATATGGTCACGAGCTTTGGGTAGTGACCGAAAGAACAAGATCRCGGATACAAGCGCCTGAAATGAGTTTCCTCAGCAGGGTGTCTGGGCTCTCTCTTAGAGATAGGGTGAGAAGCTCAGTCATCCAGGAGGGACTGAGAGTAGAGCCGCTGCTCCTCCACGTCGAGAGGAGCCAGTTGAGGTGGTTCATCTGGTTAGGATGCCTCCTGGACGCCTCCYTGGTGAGGTGTTCTGGGCATGTCCCACTGAGAGGAGGCCCAGAGGAAGACCCAGGACACGCTGGAGGGACTATGTTTCTTGGCTGGTCTGGGAACACCTTGGGATTCCCCCAGAGGAGCTGGCCCAAGTGGCTGGGGAGAGGGAAGTCTGGGTCTCTGCTTAGGCTGCCGACCCTGTGACCCGACCCCAGATAAGAGGAAGAAAACGGACMGACGGACTGATTTTATATGCTTTCTCTATCTTAACCCTCTTGCTGCTCTTGAGTCAAAATGACCCACATGGCCACATGGAGTTTAGACTGTACGTCATTTTGACCCAGGGACAGCAGGAGGGTTAAGATGTTTTCTCTTCCTGTGGATTCCTACTTTCAACTTATCTGTCCAGGGACTATAGTTGTTGCAATTTAGGGCCTATAGAAACTTGTTGAGTTAGGCAACATATTGACAAGGATTAAACTTAAAAGCTGTTCACTGCTTTTTTGTTCTTGTTGCTCATTTTCATTGCAAACAGGACAATGCTTAGATTAAMCAACCACACAGTTTAGCAGCTTGTGTGGGAATTACACAATTGGCGGCAAAGAAACCCGATATTTCATTTGGGAGCTGAGTGAAAACTRAAAAACAACTTGTACTTGTGTTTCCCAGGTGTCAAGTGACTGTGGGATACTTGACACCTGGGAAAAAGGTGACCATGACCTCTTGACAACAAATGATGAGACTGGTTTATACTTCAACAAGACGTGGGCCAACAGATCTGTGATTACGTCATTTTTGATGTTTTTGGCTCACTGAGTGCTTATAATCAGGCAGAATGCAGGAAATAAATCATCATAATTTCTCCCACAGCACCCCCAATGTAGCATACGTCGTGCATTGCTAAGCATATAAACAACTACAGTGGAAGGAGGGCGTATCAGATGATGGAGAGAGGCTGGTGTTGTTGGATGAGGAGTCAGAGCAGGAAGATCTAGGATTTTGTTCTTGTTAACCRTGGAAATGGAAAGAAGACGTGGACGTCGATGGCACATTGCCATGCTCCTCAAAGCAGTCTAAGCTATTATAACATCCAAACAACAAAAAGAAAAAGAGTCGTACTCAAGAACAGATGTAGCTTTTTGTATTGGTCTCATAACCTAATACTCCTTCAAGAGGCCAAGCAGAATCACCTGATTTATGTTTATCTCTCATGTTAGACAGTAGCTTCCTTTGTTGGTTTATCCCAGCGCTGTGTCAGTCTTATTAAGAAGAGCAAGAACATTTCCCCTAACATCATCCAAATAATTGTCTCGTGTTCTGAAACAGGGTGTACAAATCATCAGGGGGACATCAAACTGTTTAAAAAAGGATCGGAACAGTAGACTGCTCCTATTTATTAAAAGGCTTAGTGAGGTCTGAGAAGACAGTTAAACCTGACAACGTAGAAAAGGTATATAATTAGTAACAAGGGTTCTGGTGCACTCTCAGGTTCCCAGTCACTCTCCTTCCCATTTATCTCTCTCCTGGTGCCTCCTGTGTGGGTCACACCTTCCTGTCGCCTGGGAAACTTGACTCTTGGTGCCCTTCCAACAAGAAATTGCCTTTTTAGATGTGAGTTGCCCTGCTGCCTGAACGTGCCTCTGCCTGCCCCCCATCCATGCCTCTACAGTGCGATGTCTCGGTCTCCCACTCTGAGGGCTGGATGAGCTTTATATGCAGGGAGGTTTAGTGTTTCGCTGACTCACAGCAGGTTGGACTCAGACCTCAGAACTCAGTCTCAAGTGCTGAGCAATGGTATCACTTTGGTGATTGTGTGAAAATAAAACACAACCAACTGTATGCACACCATCACATTTTAGTACCTGCACACAGTACAATGCAAATTGGTGTCCATCATGGCAAAAATAGTCTCTGTAACGTAACTGCAACAACTCTATAGACAAACTTCTTTCAGCTGATTTCTCTTCAGGGGTCACCACAGCGAGTCATCCTTGTCCATCTCACGCCACCCTTACCACAACTATCTCCTTGTCCTGTCTGCATCCCCATCTCCTCTTTCTCTTTTTCTGCATCTCTAACACCAATATACCCTCTGTCCGTCCTCTGGACATGTCCAAACCATTTCAGTCTAGCTTTATCTACCAGTGGTTCAACCTGTTGTACCTCGGATGATCTCAATCCTAATCTTATCCATCCATGTCACTCCTAAGGAGAACGTCGTCTTCAGCTCTGCTACTTCCCACTCTGTTTTCTTGTCTTTTTTTCTCTAAACCATACTATATAATGGTCTCACTAAACTATAATAACTAAAAGAGTCCCTTTTTCAGGATCTCATTCAGTCTCTGCATCACACCRGACCATCTCCTCTCACGATTGGACTCGTCTAACTGTAGAGTTATTGATTGAACTTATAAATGAAGCACTTGAACTCAGAGTTACCAAAATGTCAACATTGAATTGCCACTGATACAGTTTTAAACACAAAGGATTTGGTTCACAGTCAAGAACGAAGTTTATTGAGCCTCTTTACAACAGAAGAACTAAAACATGACTTTGAACCAGAAGCTGTCAGGTTGTAATGTAATCTTCCTATCTGTGGTACAAATACAACCAGAATATTTACTTTTTTTAGTTTATTTAACAAGGACAATGTCTATTAATGAAAAATGGCTAAATGTAAATGCACTAAAATTAGCCAAAAGGCTATTTTTCAAAATGACTGTATTATTTGCATGTGCCCAATACAYAGTCCATTGTATTAAGGTTCAGAATTACAGTTTTACATTTTAATAGCTTGAGAGTAAACAGGAAGTAATGGTGCGTTCACACCGAACGCGATTTCAGCATCAGGAGCAGCAGGTTTACATACAAAGTCTATGGTGGACGCGCTTCAAGCAACGTCGGGAAGTTCTGCGGCGCCTCAAGCGCGATTAGAGCAGCGCGATTTGAACGATTTGAACGATCTGAGCGTTCGACGCGCTGAGGCGCAAATCGCTGAAGTTAGAAAATCTAAACTTTTGCAGCTCGACGCGCAGCGTCAACCAATCAGAGAGACTCCACTGTGTGACGTAGYGACATATTTCCCGACGGGACAGTTTACTGAATGATGTCCACTAACCTGAAACAGACAGAGCTCCTGCTCTTTAGCTGAAATGAGTGCTGCAGTCGTGTCCTGATCCGCAGCAATGCGTGGCAGCGACTCATCAGACTGAAAAAATAGTCCTGAAAGCGAGCTGTGAGCCTCTACTCTGAATTATCTGGTGAATTAATTATGAATTAATTATCTGATGAGGTGACATGCTCTTGCTCTCTGTAAATAAAGCAAAGCACTTCCTCGTCCGACATTAAACAGAGCCCGACAGAGGAGGGAGGGGGCGGGGCGGCTGTCGCCGTGCAGCGCAGCTGTCCTGCGTCTGACCTCAAAGTGCACAAGCTTCAAACTTCAGCGTTGGCTGCGATTTTGACGCTGAAATCGCGTTCGGTGTGAACGCACCATTAGACAATATAAAAAGTAGTAAACCCTATRGAGTATTTGAAAATGTGTCCATTGTGGAGCCCCCCAGTTCTAACTTTCTTAAAAATGCATCAGAATGCCCACAAAAATGGCCCCAAATTGGGTTCAACCCTTGCAGTAAATTTTATTTGAACATAATTGTTCCTTGTAATCACTTACATGAAGCTGCTGTATACAAAAAAGCCRTTAATAAATAAAAGCTCTTATCTGCTCAGGTTCAAGCTCAGTGGTAAAATACTCCTGCAGGWTGCAGCGCTGCACGTAGAGCTTCTCAGCTTCTCTGTTTACTTTAAGAACTTGGCACACAAGTTAATCTGAAGGGCGAGCCTGATAAGTCCCTGATCTTCACGTCATGAGAAAGATAAGGTAATCATTTATTTAGGAAGGCTGTGCAAATAAACACAAGGCTAAGATGCTCTCTTAGAGCAGCTCTTGGTTTAACAAAGAGCGGCGGTCTGTAAGCGTTCCTGTAACGTGTCTGAAAGAATCTGGAGCTTCTAWAGAAATACGTTGTTGAAAATAGAAGATTTTACCATTTAAAGGCTGCACGAGGGCAGAATCTGCAGAAATCTTTGTTTTTAAAAGGAGTTTATTATCAGGTTTGATGTCGAAATGTGTGCATAAAACTTCCACTAGGATTGGCATTTTCTGTATTAAGAAATTCTACTACCCTTGTTTTTAGATAACATAATTTTTTGAGGCCTCGCAGCTTTTAGATCAGAGGCCGTTACAAGACAGCATTGCAACATTAAGAAGAATCCCCGTCTGAAGAAGGAGCAGCTTAAATCTGACTCCGCAGAGCATTTAAACACAACAGCTCTTGGATTTGTAGACCTATAGGAGCATTATTGCGAGAGGAAAATGAGATCCGAGCGAGAACGTGGGCAGAATGCAGAGGGGTGCGTATAAATGCACACTAATAATGGGTGTAAATCTGCAGGGGTGATTAGATTGTTCATTATCCTGCCTGCTCATCCTCATGCAGCCTGCAGTTYATTACAAGCTGGATTTTTCCTAAGTTCAGGCTATCCTTCAGAAAATTAATAGCAYGTTAGCCTCTTTGTCAACCCTGTTATTGATTCTTTGGAGAGAAGAGGAGAAAAAAAAAAGAAAGAAGTGATGTGATTTGTCTAATTTCAGATCACAGAATCATCAATGATCCTTTCTGCACAGGAGGAAAAAAAACTGATGAAATTTTTATTTTTATCATCCAAATGTTTACAAAGATGCACCTGCTGTTTTGCTCCGCGAGA